TAGACTGTTCAATACAAACCAAATCAATGCATCTTTGCTCTCAACATACTTTTGCTAAATTGCTAAATTAGGCATTCTTCTTCCCAAAGACAAAACATCAGGTTTAAGGTAATCAATTTCTACCCATCACCTTAGATATCAACCTGATGCAAGCAAAAATAAATAAATAAATAAAATTTAAATTGCATCAGAGAGGTTGTGGGAAAGCACAAGGCAGTAGCAATATCTTAAATTGCATGCACATTATTCCCCAGGGTTTCTCCTTTATATCCAGGCCTCTCCAACTGTGCACTCCAATACCTATAATATCATATTTATAGTATGCCAGAAAAAGATTCAGTATGTCACAATATATAGTACGTGAAATGCAGTATGCCAAGAATACCATGATATTCTGCTACATCCAGTTGTATTTTACAATTATGCAAGTCAGCATGCTTTTCTGGCTTTCTGACCCACAATCCTTTGCACTCCTTTGCACAGTGAAAGATTTGTCATATCAACTAAGCCACTGCAACAGTATATACTTTTAAGGGCAGTTGCAATACATACTAAAAGTAAAAAGAAAAGTATGTCACTTGGAACACACCCAAATCTGTAGAGAAACTCCATGAGTGATGTGTGCTTGGATGCAGGCTGCATATCTGAGCTCTGGTCTCCTCTGTGCCACAAATGGAACAACATTCCATCCTTTTACAATGAGAAACTAGCAATTTCATTCCGTAGGTATTTTGCCTGTCAGTATTTCCATCATATGTGCAATTAATATTAACTGTTTTGAATCCTGCAAAATGCAGCCATCTTCCATTAAGGGACTTGCTGCAGGTAGTAAATTCCAAAAAAAAAAAAAAAATGCGCTATTCGGATCCATCTACCAACAGCCTGCTAGAAAATCTACTGACCTCTTGCTAATGGCTTAGAGAGGAAAACACAAGGCAATGATACTTGTCTCTTTCACTCTTCCACTTGTGCAAAGCAATTACACATTTAAGGAACAGGTGCTCTGATTCTTCAGACTCAGACTCAGAAAACTTTATTATCCATTCAATTTACATGAGATGGAAAATCTTCTTTGGTACTGGCAAAAAGACAAACACCTCACACAAAACAGTGACAGACAGACAACAAGTTCATAAATAAATAGCAGTATCAGTACTAATACACTGTACACACAGCCTTAAAAGGAGTGGGTTAAAAGTAATTAAAAGCATTTATGTATTAAAAGCATATGTGTGTGTGTGTGTGTGTGTGTGTGTTGTTAGACTTACTATTAACCAGGAATGTTTTTCACACAGCTTTTATGGGTTTCTTAGAGGTGATGAGTTAACTACACACACTGAATCTTCTGATCCTACGCGTAATTAGGGGTGTCAAATTATCGTGTTAATTGCAAAGAATTAATTACAGCCATATTTAACGTGCTATGTTTTTTGATCGCGTTAATCTCATTTTTAATCTCTAACTTTACTGTTTCTGTATGCCACAGAGTTGCCTTTTATAAAATCCATCTGTAGGCGTACGATTGGGCTTCTTTGTACTTGAGTTGTGGGAGAGCTGCAGCGCTACAGAGCAGAGCCCAGCATCAGCATTTTTAACTGTCCCCTGCAGTGGTGGTCTGCTCACTCAGGAGCCTATGAAAAGCTGTCTGCCCTAGCACGCAAGTATCTGACCTCCCCGGCAACCCCTGTGTAATTTTTGGGACAATCAGGGCAGGATTCAGGATTCAGGATTCAGGACAACTGCTTGAATTTCGGGACTGTCCGAAATCCAAGCAGAAAATCCCTGGCGGTGCCCCTGCAGCTCCCACATTGGTTGCAGCAGTTCCTACATGAATTAAGGGTATTATAGTTTGAAGAAGAGAAGACAGTGCAAATTGCAGCCGCAAGGACAGGGAAAGCGCAGGCAGCCATGAGAAGGAGTGATTTGCACGTTGCAGTGCAGCCTCTTGTTCTAACTGTTCAAAACTGTTCTATAAACTGATACAGCTGTAACGAATGTACCAGGTGTCTTTTATTTTGTTAGCTTTTATTTTTTATTAAGTTTAAAGGACAAGTGCACTTACATTGATCACTTCCATGAAATAAAACGAGAAATTGGAAAAGAGGAAAGTAATTTAGAAAATTGTTAAAATAAAATTAGAGAACTGATCACAGATGTATTGTCTCTGTGTGTTTTTTCATCTATTGTTGCTTTAATCTGCAGCTATTCTTTTAATGAAGCTGACATGTGATGACAGTCAAGCACCCCCCTGGTGGTTGAGACTGAAGATTGCAGCACTCTTTATTGGGACTAATTTCATAAACAATAGAATGTAATGGCTAGGTGTACTGCATCTGTGTTCAAGTGTGTTATTGTTGAAAACAATAATTATGACATTATAAAACCACTTTTTGTAATATATATCAATCTTTTGGTCATCTGCCACAATAATGAAATGAATTTAAATGAAAATACCTCAAGTTGAGGGCTTTTCTCAGCAATTTTGAGATGAGATTAAAAAAGAGATGAATTAGATCAATTAATTACAGATCATAATTAATTAATCTCTACATTTTTTTAATCTCTTGACAGCGCTACACATAACCTCACTGTAGCTGATGTAATCATTAACCCATACTGCTTCTCCATATTATCAAAACCCACAAAGCCTGATGGGGATAGGTCAGGAACAACATTTAATTTCTAAAACTACAACTGCTTTGTTCTCTGTCTCTCATTTGCAATCTAGTGGATATACACTTCTCAATGTAAACAATGTTGCTAACACTCCTCTGCACGTACAGTACAGTACAGGCCAAATGTTTGGACACACCTTCTCATTCAATGCGTTTTCTTTATTTTCATGACTATTTACATTGTAGATTCTCACTGAAGGCATCAAAACTATGAATGAACACATGTGGATTTATGTACTTAACAAAAAAAGGTGAAATAACTGAAAACATGTTTTATATTCTATTTTCTTCAAAATAGCCACCCTTTGCTCTGATTACTGCTTTGCACACTCTTGGCATTCTCTCCATGAGCTTCAAGAGGTAGTCACCTGAAATGGTTTTCCAACAGTCTTGAAGGAGTTCCCAGAGGTGTTTAGCACTTGTTGGCCCCTTTGCCTTCACTCTGCTGTCCAGCTCACCCCAAACCATCTTGATTGGGTTCAGGTCCGGTGACTGTGGAGGCCAGGTCATCTGCCGCAGCACTCCATCACTCTCCTTCTTGGTCGAATAGCCCTTACACAGCCTGGAGTTGTGTTTGGGGTCATTGTCCTGTTGAAAAATAAATGATCGTCCAACTAAATGCAAACCGGATGGGATGGCATGTCGCTGCAGGATGCTGTGGTAGCCATGCTGGTTCAGTGTGCCTTCAATTTTGAATAAATCCCCAACAGTGTCACCAGCAAAACACCCCCACACCATCACACCTCCTCCTCCATGCTTCACAGTTGGAACCAGGCATGTGGAATCCATCCGTTCACCTTTTCTGCGTCTCACAAAGACACGGCGGTTGGAACCAAAGATCTCAAATTTGGACTCATCAGACCAAAGCACAGATTTCCACTGGTCTAATGTCCATTCCTTGTGTTTCTTGGCCCAAACAAATCTCTTCTGCTTGTTGCCTCTCCTTAGCAGTGGTTTCCTAGCAGCTATTTGACCATGAAGGCCTGATTCGCGCAGTCTCCTCTTAACAGTTGTTCTAGAGATGGGTCTGCTGCTAGAACTCTGTGTGGCATTCATCTGGTCTCTGATCCGAGCTGCTGTTAACTTGCGATTTCTGAGGCTGGTGACTCGGATGAACTTATCCTCAGAAGCAGAGGTGACTCTTGGTCTTCTTTCCTGGGTCGGTCCTCATGTGTGCCAGTTTCGTTGTAGCGCTTGATGGTTTTTGCGACTCCACTTGGGGACACATTTAAAGTTTTTGCAATTTTCCGGACTGACTGACCTTCATTTCTTAAAGTAACGATGGCCACTCGTTTTTCTTTAGTTAGCTGATTGGTTCTTGCCATAATATGAATTTTAACAGTTGTCCAATAGGGCTGTCGGCTGTGTATTAACCTGACTTCTGCACAACACAACTGATGGTCCCAACCCCATTGATAAAGCAAGAAATTCCACTAATTAACCCTGATAAGGCACACCTGTGAAGTGGAAACCATTTCAGGTGACTACCTTTTGAAGCTCATCGAGAGAATGCCAAGAGTGTGCAAAGCAGTAATCAGAGCAAAGGGTGGCTATTTTGAAGAAACTAGAATATAAAACATGTTTTCAGTTATTTCACCTTTTTTTGTTAAGTACATAACTCCACATGTGTTCATTCATAGTTTTGATGCCTTCAGTGAGAATCTACAATGTAAATAGTCATGAAAATAAAGAAAACGCATTGAATGAGAAGGTGTGTCCAAACTTTTGGCCTGTACTGCATGTGTTAGCAAAAGCAAGTATATAATGAGGCTTATTGTCATATATAGCTTGTCTTTTGATTTAGAAATGAAAATCCACAAACAAAGATCCATTCCAATCTTAAATGACAAGGCAATTTTCAACAAAATCTAATAAGTTCATTGTTCAGTCTGAGTGAACGTGCAAAATTTGAAGAAATTCTCTCAAGGTGTTCTTCAAGAATCACGTTCACAAGAATGGGACGTGCATACAGATGTACCGGGGGACAAAAAGACAGACTTAAGCATTGTCAAAAAGCAATTTTATCCCTAGCCTTATTATCATCTACAAAAGAACTTACACTTTAATTGAATTTCAGCCATAGCTTATTCCTTATTTATCCATAATAATTAGCCTATTCTTAATTTCAACCATCAGTGTAAACACAAACCTAAAGCTAACCCAGGAGGATACTTTTTAAGAGGCAAGGACATCTATCTAGTCTAGTCTAGGATCTCTCGCTCTCTCTCTCTCTCTCTCTCTCTCTCTTTCTCTCTCTCTCTCTATCTCTCTCCCTCTCACACACACGCACACACACACAGAGGGTGCGATAGATTGGATAGTCACCTCCACGTGTTGTAGAAGAGCAGGGGGATGTTGAGGCCCACAGTCAGCCACTCTTGAGCACACAGGAACATGATGCAGAAGAGTCCATGGATGGAGTACTCAGGTAGCACCAACTACAAATAGACACAGAGGAGCAAAGAGACAGAAGCAGGTGAAAGATGATAATGAGTTAGAGACCAACGAAGTGAAGCTAAAGAACTTCAATGTCAACAAGCAGAGAGTCAGGCACCAAGACCAGAGCTTGTCTCATCCTCCCTCTACTCCTGTCTTATATTGCTGGTGTTGTGTGTTTATAAATGCACTTTTGAAAGACCTTTGCTCTAATATAAGGATTGCATGGATGAACAAACACTTAATGAATTTAAACTAGGGTGATTGATTAGCAGATGCCACATTATCATTTCAATGCCCATGGGTGAAAAAAACAAAACATAACAAAGAAAAAAAAATTACCTCAAGTATCATCATTAGCATTCAAATCCTTAGCCTAGCCTGTATTTAGCCACTGCAAATCTGTCTATCTGCAAGCATTCCAACTGGCTAAATGTCTCCATCTAGATTATGGAGAGCTTAGCTTCACAATCGGCAGCACACACTCAAGGCAGAGCTCCATCATTATCATAATAACTTGAGGCCTCCTTCAGCAACAAGGCCTCTGTTCTCCAAAAAGTTAAAGAATGTTAAAAGCAGCTTAGAGTTGTATAATGATCCATAACAAAAGTTGGAATTGCCTACACTTGGCAAGCTAGGCTGTACAACTTGTTACATGAGTGGCCTCCATTTACAGCTAACACTTTAAAGAGAAAGCAACATAATAGAAAAGCATGTTGTTTTTATACTGTGTTCACTACTGGATTTTTTTTTACCCTTGCCCGTAGGCTGTGGCATAAATTAATTGGTTTGTGGCCAATAGTACAACATTGAGCCATGCTCTACAGTTATGGTTATAGCTATGGTTATAGCTCGACTACACCAAATAATTGGACTACTGTCCTGGTTCCAGTATACAAGCACAGGAAGGGGATCGATTTATTGACTGTATGTATTCCAAGTCCGCTACTATAGGTGGCGAAATGCACCCTTTTCAGCTTTTTAGTACTGGACCTTTTTCTGTTTACCTCTTACATTACAGACCAAACATTTAACAAACAAGTTAGCTATGGTTAGCTAGCGGCAAACTGGTACCATGGTGCACATCTTTACAGCCCTGTGCATTTCATACATGCTGTATGCTTTACTTTTTCTTCTCTTCTTCTGTTACACCTTTAATGCTATTCGACTTCTGGGTCAAAGTCCTGGGCGGACACTGTGGAGCATGCGCAGAGCACATAAGCCAATTTGAATCCGACTTAGTGATGGCCTCATGAAGCCTCATGAGGCATTTTCTTTATTTTCTGAGCCCACTAGATTGCACTCTTGGGTTAAAGAGAGAGGCTCAAAGAATGGCAATTCAGTGTGTTTTAAACCTTTTGTTGAACTCAAAGCGCCATCTGACTGACTGTATACATGCAAGAGTGATTTAACTCCCAATTTGTCAGTGAAGATTCTCAGTAATCCAGGTCACAGGGGATGTCAGAGGAGACTGTCTACCCTTCTTAGACTGTGCAGTATATGTTGAAGAGGACAGAAGCCTTAAGACTGAGGTGTACAGAAAACCTACACACACGGACCAATACCTGCTGTTTGGGAGTTATCAGGTCACTGAATCATCGGGCCGAAAACGTGCCCATGAGGACAGAGGGGAAGGTAAAGGAACAGAAACACATCAGGGAAGCACTTCAAACCTGTGGCTACCCCAACTGGGCCTTTGCAAAAACCTCTAAAAGACCTAGAGCAGAGAGGAAGGGACACAAAAACGTGACAACATTGTCATTCCTTATGTCGCAGGAGTGTCTGAGAAACTCAACAAACACCACATCCTGGTGCACTTCAAACCCAGTAACACACTGAGACAGAAACTTGTCCACCCCAAGGACAAAACACCCAGACAAAAGCAGAGCAATGTAGTGTATGCAGCACAGTGCAGCCAGGAATGCACAGATTTATGCATTGGGGAAACAAAACAACCACTCCACAAGCACATGGCACAGCACAGGAGAGCCAGCTCCTCAGGTCAAGACTCAGCTGTCCACTTACATCTACAGGAGAAGTGACACTCCTTTGAGGACAGCAATGTGCACATCTTGGCCAGGGAAGAAAGATGGTTTGAGAGGGGAGTAAAAGAAGCCATCTACGTCAAGCAGGAACGAGCATCGCTAAACAGAGGGGGTGGCTTGCGACACCACTTATCACCCACCTACAATGCAGTCTTGGGATCCCTCCCCAGACAACTTCACACCCATTCACCCCTGGTCCCACCTGACCTTAACGACTCACATGGTGGCCAGATGGGCCAACAACTCACATTGTGACCTTAATGACTCTGAAACTAAGAGCTCACATGTGACCCTAACAACTCTGCAGGGGTTCCCACCCACACAGAGTTTAAAGCCTGAAACTCTGTACCAGTCATTTAGAACTGAAGAAGCTTCTTGGATGAGAGGTGAAATGTCTTCAAGAAACGCAAGCAAATCTAGTTGCCTACGATATAGCACTTACGATTAACTCCCAATTATATTATCTCGGTGTGTTCATCTGACTTTGACAAATCCAATTTAATACTATTTCAGTCAGACTACCATGTTTATATGTATTTTAAGTCTGTTTTCCTGAGATTTCTACCATTCCCCTCCCGTTAAAGGGTTTTTTGGGGGGAGTTTTTCCTTGTCTGCTGTGAGGGTCCTAAGGACAGAGGGATGTCGTATGCTGTAAAGCCCTGTGAGGCAAATTGTGATTTGTGATATTGGGCTTTATAAATAAAATTGATTGATTGATTGTTTTAAGTTGCACTAACACAGCAAACCACTTTTCTCTATTGTCACATACACTTGGTGATTATGACCAGCAGTTTATGGAGCAGCAATTTTTTTATGAACTAGCTCTAATTTGATTTTGACTAATTTTTTTATGCACCCTGGCATCATTTACCATAAAAACTGTTTTTCAATTTTATTTTTCAGATACTTATGAACTGTTTCCAGATTGATTATGAATTGTAAACATTAGTAATTGTTAGCAGTTAGTACTGAGTTGAAGCAAAATACTAATACACAATGCTGACTAGAGTTGGAAAAACACTTAAATCTGTTAATTTTAACAGCAGTGGAATGTAACTAAATGCATTTATTCAGGTATAGTACTTAAGTACAATTTTAACCTCTCTAACTCCGCCACTTCTCGCTCCCCCCCCCCTCCTCTGTTAAATGGTATCTCCCAGGTGCACTACTTCATCAAACCATGTGATGTTTGGTATTGCCGGAGTCAGGAAGCTCACGACTTTTCGAAAATAACATAGTTTTTCTTTTATGTATTGTGTATTTAAAACCAGAGCATCCTAAACACACAAAGTCCAAAATCGCGATGAGTGGTGACAAGTCATATCATGCCGTTTTCGACGGGAAAAGTTAAAGGATTACTCGCGACCTTATGGGGAGCTGTTAGCGGGGACTTAGATCTTTTATAAAAGGTAAGAGTAAGTCGACGGTGGCTTAGTGGTAGAGCAGGTGCCCCATGTACAAGGCTGCTGCCGCAGCAGCCCAGGTTTGACGCCAGCCTGTGGCCCCCCGCTGCATATACATCCCCCCCACACACTCGTCTGTCCCATTGATTCAAGGCTTAAAAATGCCCCAAAAAATATCTTTAAAAACCCCCCACTATTTTTGGCTGAGATATACCATCTATGAAAGTGGGATCAAGTTTCACGTTTCATATGGCTCTATTTGGTGATATTTTATGGTGTTTCTGTGTCAAAAACAACATCAGCTATCATAATCACACCTGATTTCAGTAAGGTACAATGTTTGAAGCTGGCTGAGTGTTGTTTGATCACTGACAGTACTGTTTTGAAGCCGAGTGACCGACTTGTCATTTGGAGCTCCGCCTGGATCTTAGCATGGAAAAAACTCTGTAGAATGGTCATACTTTAAGCAGTCTTCTTCAAATTTGAAACAAATGTTCGTTGATAGTATGCCTACAGTCCCACAGTGTCATTTACCTGCTCAGACAAAGCCACAGACAGTTATTCATCCTGAAACTCATTGTTTATTTTATTTTAGGCAAAATCTTCAATGTTTTACTAATTTTAGTGGCCCATTACTCTGTCTCTGTATTACCTAGAGTGTTTCTGACACTTTCACAAGAAACTTCAGAGAGTTTTCTTTCTGGCAAGACCTCATGCATGCATGTAGACAGCAGTTGAGAAGCTACAGTCATTTTAATTTGGGTATGTCATTTTAGGCGTTTTTGCTACAAAATGGGGGTGGAGTACAAGTACTTCAGTACTTTCATTTTATGATACTTTACACTTATACTCCTCTACATCTCAGAAAGAAATATTTTTTACTGTTTTACCCTACTATATTTATTTGTAGTGATGGCCTCATGAAGCCTCATGAAGCATTTTCTTTCTTTTCTGAGCCCACTAGATGGCGCTCTTGGTTTAAAGAGAGCTCAAAGAATGGCAATTCAGTGTGTTTTTAAAGCTTTTGTTGAGCAAAAAGCGCCACCTAGTGGGCTCAGAAAAATAAAGAAAATGCTTCATGAGGCCATCACTATTTATTTGTCTGCTTAAGTAACCCTGAAGTCTCAGACTAATAACACAAATATAGCCTAATTAACAAATAAAATGATGTTTTGAGCTCCACTTTTACCTGCTGCAACATTAATGCATCAATGATTATCCAGTATGAATCTGAAATGGGCTCTTTAATGAGTAATTTTACTTTTGGTACTTGAAGTAGTCTTTATTTTGATGTTAACACTTCACTTTAACTAGGGTAACATTTTGACAGAGTACTTTTACACAGTACTATTGCTACTTTTAGGTAAAAGGTCTGAGTAGCCATCAGGGCCTTTTAATTTTACCATAAGGCCTACTCTTACTTTTTAAATACAACCCTCATTCCAGAACAATTGGGATGCTGTGTAAAATGTAAGTAAAAACAGAATGCAATGATTTAATCTCATTAACCCAATTTTTTATTCACAATAGAACATAAACAATATATCAGATGCT